TTAATAACTATAGAAGTAAAATATACGAAGCTAGTCTACAACAGCTCAATAATAAACTTTCAACAATGTCTTTCTGTTTATACATTCAGAAGGAAATTCTACAGGGAACATTAACACACAAATTTGTGCTGCAGATTAAGATTACGTTGAGCTTGCAGCAAGCTCAATTTTGCGAATATTATTCACACTGGTAACATAACACAAAATACGAGATCATTTTTAAACCTTAAATAGTATCACTTAAAACTTGTAACTAAAATTGGCTAGTTGCGGCTATATTTGGGAAATTAATGATTAGGACAGCTGAAAGCCACAAGAGCTTTTAAAAGCAAAATGAGATGCATGACTTCAAAATGGAATATCACAATGTTGGCAACTCCATAAAAATCATTTTTACATAAAACGGCTCCCTGTTGTACCACTGAAAGGCTTCCTCAGAGGTATTCGACAGAATAACTTGTCAAACCAGGAGCGGACAGACTCAGAGGTCGAAAAGGAACCACTGCGGAACACTCCACTTGATGCTTCATCTGTGCAAGAGGCCATGAAAGCTTGGACATCACTCTTCGGAAAGCCCTCTTTGTAGTACAGCTTGATGGTTTCATAAGCATCCATAATGATGGAAATAAAGAGAGATAGGACAACATATATGTACAAACTAATGAATGAGTATAGATAAAAGCGACAATACCACCAGAGCATTGGAGACTTGAGGGGCATGATGGAAAAAGTAGCAAACATATCATCACCATTGATGAGGGCAAACAAACACTCAGAGGTACTAGCCAAGGAACGAAACTTGATGTGGTAGGGCCCTAGAACTAGCCATCCACAGAATGTGAATCCAGCATATATCAATAGAGCACACAGAGAAAATCGGGCAACTTTTGGTGCAGCATTTCTTAAAGTCAAAATGACCACATTGTATGTTTTGAAGAAACCCAAGTACCTCAGCACACCGAACCACACAAGTAGATTCCCTGTGCCCAGGAAAACACTGCAGATATTCCACTGGTCTCCTGCCAGTTGCTTACGGTCAATTTGCTCTTTGATCGCTGAGCCAAAAATGATCAATATATCATTGGCAATGATCATAAGATACCACAGATTCAAAAATTCCAATCTCCCCTCCCGGCTGAGCACCTGGAAACAAGGAAATTGTGAATTAGGTTCAAAAACGAATTTGACAGTATCAGTAACAAAAATATAAAAAGGAAACTTACTGTGCCATAGACATTCTTGAAGAATCTGATTGTCTCATTTTTCAGTTGTTGGGCTCTGTAAATTGCTCTTCCACACAGTATGAGAGAAAGAAGACACACTATTATGACACAACAGTTCAAAATACTGCCAAGAATGTAGTCTAGACGATTGTCAGTGATGTATTCTACATCACCCTGACATACAAGTCTCATTGGCTCAGCTTCTAATGATAACAGCATTTGACCATCCTGATCTCCATTGTCCATGTCAATCTTGACATCAAAACGATAACAATCAGGAGGAGTTATGGCACCAGCAGCTTTGAAATTTACAGTCTTGACAGAAAATTCAAGTGAAGCTCTCACTAAAGCAGAAAAGTTCACAACCATGTTCTTGGAAATTAAGTATTCCTTGCTAGAGAAAGAGGCATTTGAAGATATTGTAAGGTTGATAACATGCCTATCAATTTCACTATTGAATTGGTAGCTTTCATTAAAGCCATAAATAACACCCTCTTTGTACTCATACAAAGAGAGTAAAGGGGAACCAATGTGGTTATCATCCGTGTCATAGGAATACGGACCAATTGCATCAGATAACTTCCGGTACCCTGCTACTGCGTAGTCCAAAGTATGATAAAAGTCTTCTTTTACATACAGGGCTAAGGGGCCAACAGCTGGTGGATATGAATTAACTTCTCTTGTAGTATCCCACCCTCTTAAGAAGAGATGTGAGAATGTAACTCTGTTGTCCCAAGCATAATTCACATGCTTGTATCTACTATGGGCGAAGATGCACAGTTGGGTGGTCACCAAAACAATTTTGATGACTTGGATGAGGAACTTGTAGGGGAATCTCTGCTTGGCATGCCACTTCTCAATCGGATTCATGAAGAAAAACCGAAGTCGACGCTGCATCCTTTCAACTTCTTGGTCAGTGCAGATTTCTGGGCAAGGAGGATTGCTTGAGCTTGGTGAAGCCCCCTGATTTGTGCCATAGCCAGCATCACCATAGCCAGGATCAGAAACCTCAGAGTTTGCTGTGCCATATCGAGGAGTCATTTCAGATGCCTTAGCCCCTTGAGCCTCAGGATTCATAACCAAGGCCTCCATTTCCTCTTCGTTGTCCAATGCACCTGCAATGTTGAATGAATTAGTCAAAGTTCAACAAAATATTGCCAGGAAAAGAGCTCAACTTTCTTAAATTTGAACTCCATGCACAAGGAAAGAAGCAATGCGATTGGACTTTCACAATGCCAAAATACAGAGAGTATGATAGCTTAAAGTAAATTGTATTACTTTCCTAACTAAATAGTTACATTCCCTAACCTACATCATACCTCTACCGCACCCATGAACACACAATGGCAAGAGCGGACCAAGAGGATGGCACATTTTTGGCCTCGAATCCAGGTTAGAGCTAGGGCATTTTCAGGATTCGAGCGTGAACTAGATAACTAGAAACGTCATGCACTACAGCTGTTGCCGAGACCGACCAAGTGAGGTAGGGGCGACACTGCGTAGATAAGGCAAGGTTGGCGCGTTTACGGAATTACACGTGCACTATCAACGTTCAAGCAATCATCCTTGCTCTCTTCTTACCTGACCACGTATCGCGGGAAGGAAGAGTGTTCACAAGCACTTCCTCACTTGTGCTCATGCTGTCAAATGAGCCATCAGCTGATCTCCTTTCTGGGGTCGCCACAACACAAAGCCAAATTGTCCTCAGTTTTCTTTCTCTTTTTCGACTTCACCCCCACCCCTCCACAAGTTGCCCCTTC